GGAAGGTGTAAGAGTAGCTTCGTGCTGTGGTAGCTGGAGTCATGAAGAGTTGAATATTTTGCAGTACGCTTATGTTCCATTATAATGTTTTTGGCTGACTCAATGCTTGGTTTCTGTCTTTGCCCATCAGATTCTGATTCCTCGCTCTTGCGGTTCCTCGGTGATGATAGGATTTTGTTGATCCAGGAAGAGGCAGAGTTTTCCCAGCGTGACACAAGCAGGCGATCCAGGAAGAAGAGCCGAAATCCCAGCAGTCCCAGTTTTCCCATTAGTCCCTCTATGCTTGCCCCTCCTGTACGTCTGGACACAGGTCCCCCTGAGGGGCTGCCCTTCCCCGTGCCCGACTCTAATACGATGCCACACTACCATGTAAGTGAAATGTCGAATCTGATCTGAGCTGTGACTTTTCTCACACAATTGCAATTGTTTGATGTCAGTCAAAATCGATTTGGTCTTCAAATATTAGTGTTTTAACTTAGAGGCATATCAAACATTCTAACATTTATATTTGTTTAATAAAAAATGTAAAAATCGCCTCATCTAGTGACATACTAGTCAAATTATTGATCCATAATTTGATCACATGACACTTGAACAGTGTTTTTTTTTTTTCATAACACAGAACAGGAAATTCAAATCTGTCTTCTTCTCTGTCTCTTGTTCTCTTTGTCATTCTGTTCTTTGCCCCAGAGAGCTGCAGACACACTTCGAGCAGATTCTGATAGGTAAGTAAACTTCATACCTTCCTTATATTATCATATTTGTTTGTATTATTGAATTATTATCCCCTGGGGTTGACTTGTTAACACAAAGAGTAAAGGTTACGGCAACAATGTCTTTTTTGGGCTGTTATTTTCAGCTTTGTCCTCAATAATTCTTTGTAAACGCTCCCTTGAGGGAAAAAGTGCTTACACATGAGCTGTGGGTTGAATGTTGGGTCTAATATCGATTTGAACTGGTCCATGCTGTAATATGTGCCTCTTTGCATAGCCTGCATTACATTGTGGCAGATTGACGATAATATATCATAATCTACCCTGCCATGTGTCACTCAAATGGTTTAAATCGAACTGAATAACCTTCAGCCTCTGATTCTCATCACTGAGCTAATTCAGAAAGGTTTTCAGGGCAGCAGGTGCTACACATGGCCAGATGTCTACAAAGCACAAGATTTGGTTGATTTCCCCATATTTTATTCATATCATTACAGCATCTGGTGTTACGATTAACAGTATCAATTCTGTTTCCTCCTTATTACCTGACTGTCACTGGACTAGCCAAGATTCTGAACAAAATCCAATTTTTTCAATTCAACATAAATCCAAGAATTTAAAATTGAGATGTTTTTGGAGAATAATGATCTATATAATAATCTATACATATATTGGACTGGGGAACAAGTTTTGAGTTCTTAAATTGACAACATGTCATCTTAGTACAACAAAATATGAAGGAGAGGTGCTGCACACTTTTGTTTGAGCACACAACAGTCACCACAGTGAGGATCTAAATGAACTGCCGTTTATTTAGAAATGAGGAACAGAAATTCCTTGGCTGCAGTTTTAAGAGCGTTGTCTGGGTGCCTGAGGTTTAGTTGTAGTCCTTACTATTCAAAAATATTTTGTGTGTGTGTGTGCGCGTGTGTGTGTGAGAGAGAGGAGGGTGTGTGAGCATGAGCAGCAGGGTGGTTTCAGTTAGAATAAGTTATGAAGTTAACCTCAAACCCCAGCATCCTGTCCACTACCTGTGCCTTTGTTTGAGTTAAATAGGTGAGGAAGAAAAAAAAAAGATATTATTCTTGCTGCGGGTGGAATCATAAATTACACTGCTATGCTCAGGCAGTTCTAATATTCACATAATTAAAACGCCATTGAAAACAGAACTCTCTTCTCGTCTCTTGACTGTCTCATTGTCTTTTTCCTGTTGTCCCTCTCTACAGATATGCCAGTTCAGGACTTGACCGACAAGCAGGGGCATCAATGAGGAAGGTAAACCACAAGCGCATTTACAGCATCAGTAGTGTTAATGAGAATACATATTGTTGGGAACAAGAGGTACAGATACAATTTTCAGTATTTTTTATTTTTTTTGATTGACTGATTGATTGATTGGAGAATTTTTATTTGCAATATGGCAGCAAAAAAGAGCTTGTTACGGTCTCTCTAAGGAAGGCGAAGAAGACGAGGAAGAATAATCCACAAAGAAAGTCTTTAATATAATAATCCACATGAAACTTAGTTTAATATTAATCATACTATCTGTTATATAACTATATTGTTAATTATATTAATACATGTTTTGTTTTAAGATTAGGTCATGCTCCGGACACTTTTTAGTAGGGCTGCACGATTAATCGCATGCGATATTTAACGCGCATCTTGTCAGAAAGCCGGTTCTGTAATCAGCGGTAAATCTCCATCACCTGCGTGCTTTCACATTGAGCAGCATTAACTACACAGAGCCGTTGTTCACTGACGAGCTG